GAAAATCAGTGCCTCCTCTGCCCCCAGGCTCCTGGTCTCGATCTCCTGACCTTGTGATCCGCCCGCCTCGGCCTCCCAAAGTGCTGGGATTACAGGCTTGAGCCACCGCGCCCGGCCTAAAAATAAGTCTTAATTGTTGAACTAGGACTAGGTCTTCTAAAGAAATATAACTAGAAATCTAAGGGGCTGTGTGAAAGGTTATCAATGGAAAAAAACATGTTCGAATATAGTGGGTCAGAGAAAAAGTAGTCTCCTGTTGGTATCCAGCAGGATTAATTCAATAAACAGGTGATGAAATGCTAATTCCATTTCCCTTGCCTGGGACAGGTTCAGGAAAGGGCATGTGTTGCACGCAGTTCTGACCAAAGAGATGTGAGGAAGTCTACTGCGGGGATTATAGGCAAGTTTCCCTTGTTCCTAAAAAGGGACATGAGGAAAGGATGTTTCTTCCTCTTTTTTTTTTTTTTTTTTTTTTGAGACAGAGTCTTTGTCACCTAGGTCATTTTCCTTTTTCCCTGGCCTCAAATCACACAGCCCAAGACAGTGAAGTTGGGCCTGGGATTGAACTTATATTCCTTTTTTTTTTTTTTTGAGATGGCCTTTCGCTCTTGTCACCCAGGCTGGAGTGTGGTGGCACGATGATCTCCACTCACTGCAATCTCTGCCTCCTGGGTTCAAGCGATCCTCCTGCCTCAGCCTCCCAAGAAGCTGGAACCACAGGTGTGCACCACCACATCTGGCTAATTTTTGTATTTTTAGTGGAGACAAGGTTTCACCATGTTGGCCAGGCTGGTCTCAAACTCCTGACTTCAAGTGATCCACCCACCTCAGCCTCCCAAAGTTCTGGGATTACAGGCATGAGTCATCATGCCTGACCTGTTTCTTCCTCTTTTTTTTTTTTTTTCTGATCTTTGACATTGTTGTATAAAGATGTGATGCCAGAGTTGCTGCAGCTATCTTGTGACCTGAAGAGAAGTGGTCAATAGGCTGAAGATGGCAGAGAAAAGACAGAAGGAACCTGAGTCCTTCTTGAAGCTACTGAGCTGTTAAATTATCCAGACTGGGCTCGGCACGGTGGCTGACACCTGTAATCCCAGCACTTTGGGAGGCCAAGGCAGGTAGATCTTTTGAGGTCAGGAGTTTGAGACCTGCCTGACCAACATACTGAAACCCTGTCTCTACTAAAAATACAAAAATTAGCTGGGTATGGTGGCGGGTGCCTGTAATTCCAGCTACTTGGGAGGCTGAGCAGGAGAATGGCTTGAACCTGGGAGGTGGAGCAGTGAGCTAAGATTGAGCCACTGCACTCCAGCCTGGGCGACAGAGCAAGACTCCATCTCAAAACAAAAGCAAAAGCAAAAATAAACAAACAAAACCAAAGCAAAACGGCTCAATGCTTGTCATCCTTGTTCACTGCTAAATCCTCAGCAGATTCTCAGTAAGTGCTGAATGAATGAATGAATGAATGAATGAATGAATGAATGAACTGAATTTCTTAGGAGGATCAGAAAACGAGGTCAGACAGGTCAGGAGAGATAAGAGTTTTGAAGGGTTATGGGGTGGGACTATATCATGTGGGTGAAGGGGAGTCCCTCAGAATGGAGAGACTCCCTCAGGGCAAGGATGGTGTCTTCCTTCTTAAATTGGCAGCCTCTTCCCTCTGGACCTCCCCCTAAAGCCCAGGAGGAGGCTGAAGCCACAGGGGATGCTTGGGTACAGAAGAAACAAGCCCCGACTCCTTCCTGGGCATGCAGGAGGGTCCTGTGTTCCACAGGCCGCTTGAGTGTTCCTGGTCTTTGCCCAGCACTAACCCACCAAGCTGTACAAAAACATCATCTTCTGTTCTTCATAGATGTTCATGGGGTTCACCAGGAGCTGAAAGAGACCTAAGGGCACAGGGTCAAGCCAAGGGCCAAAAGATGGGTCCTAACCCTGGTGCAGCCTCTGCCCACCCTGGACTTTCTGCTTCCACACTCACCTATGGCCAGGAGCCCCCCAGCGCCTGCCCCCAGCAGGAAAGCAGTGACGGGAAACTCGCCCGGCTGGCGCCATAGGAACCGGCTACAGGAGACTGGCAGCCCCCAGCTCAGGAGTCTCTGCACCACTGAGAGGGGGACAGGGTAGCTCAACAGCCCACTCTTCTGCCCGGGATGGGGTTCATTAGGATTCAGGGCTTGCAGGTGGTTAGAGGCTGGGGGAACCTGGGATGTGGAACAGTAGGAACTTGGGGGACCCTGGAGGAGGATGAGGGAGCCTGAGGAAGTGGTATGGGTGTAAGGGATAGAGAAGGCAAGGGCTGGGCTGGGGGGCAGGGGGCACTAGACCAGAGAGGTGGAGGCTGGGACACCAAGTTGGGAGATAGTGTGCGGGAGTTCCAGGAGGAGAGATGGGATGAGAATGGAGGTCAAGGGATGCTGGGTCTCTGCTGAGTGACTCACTGGTATGAGGCTGTTTTCTTCTTTGCCTTCTTGCCCCACTCTGATGATGTTTAATGTCCATGAGTCTGTTTTGGGGAAGCACCACTCATCCCAAGTCTCCTGAAAGACCTCCTTGGACACAAGGTTCTGGTGAGAGAAGAGAGGCGCTGCCTGTCTCTTCTGCCTTACGGGAAGCCTAGACCTGATCTCTAGGCCTTTTCATCCTTCTGCTTCAAAAAGTGGGGAAGGAGATTAGAGACCCACCTATCCCCTCTCCAGTCCTCGGAACTGGGTCAGGGATTCCAAGACACATGCAGTGAAAGCCCTTGGAACCTTAGAACACGGTGAGAAATTCCAGGAGCACGGAAGTCAGCGGGCATCTCCTGGAGACAGGCAGACATTTGGCCTCAGCGGCCATGCCCAAAGTCATGAAGGATGTTGTGCACCCCTTCAGGGGAGAGGAGCCTAGCATGGCGAGAGCTGTGGTTCGCAGCGTGGGAGGCTTTACCCTGGGCTTGTCTTTGGCCACGGCCTACGGGCTTCTGGAGCTACTGGTGGAAGGGCACAGCCCCTGGGGCTGCCTGGTGGGCACCCTCACTTTGGCCGCCTTCCTTAGCCTGGGCATGGGATTCTCCCGCCAGGTCCGAGCCACTGTCCTCCTGCTGCTGCCCCAGGCCTTCTCCAGTGAGCTTGGCACCCAGGGCTAGGGGGCAGGTCCTGGAGCCGGTGCTGGGACAGGAGAGATGCTATGGGAGAGGCAGAGGTTAAGGGAAATATTCTGAAGGCTTAAGTGAAATATTCTGAAGGGACTTGCTGCCGTGTTTAGGGCTGGGTTCTTGGTTCTAACGGAGCTGTCGCCCGCAGGGCAGGGCCGGACACTACTGTTGGTGGCTGCCTTTGGGTTGGTGCTTCAAGGTCCTTGTGCCAACACTCTACGCAACTTCACCCGGGCTAGCGAGGCTGTAGCCTGTGGGGCAGAGCTGGCCCTGAACCAGACTGCCGAAGTGCTACAGCGGGCCAAGCAGCCCCTTGTCAGTAAGTCCCCCACCTCCACCACTGTCTCCCACACGTCCTCCTTGCCCCCCTCATCCTGCATGTTCTATAGTCCTTTGGCCTCCTTCTCTGCTGGTGCTAATTGCAGAGCATCTGGGCCTGGAAGGGACTCTGGGCACAGCTAAACCCTCTCTCCTTGCTCTCTGGCCTCCTCCACTCCCAGATTAACTATCTCCCAGGCCCCAGAATCCAGGCTCCCCACCTCTGGTACGGTGGCCTCCTCTCCACTCCCTGCTTAAGGGGCAATGTTGAGAACTAGCCCCTAAAGGAGGAGACTCCACAGTGCCTCTGTCCCTCACCCATCAGGTGCCCTGAACAAGATTAAAGCTATTGCCCAAAAGACCAAAGAGGTGGCTGACCGGGTCCGCAAGTTCTTTCGGTCAATCATGGATGGTGTGAAACACGTAGGTAAGCACATTAGCATGTCTACTCCTGGGGACTCAAAATGCACCCAGTCTTGGCCAGGTGCGGTGGCTCACACCTGTAATCCCAGCACTTTGGGAGGCCGAGGTGGGAGGATTGGTTGAGCCCAGGAGTTTGAGACCAGCCTTGGCAACATGGCAAGACCCCATCTCTATAAAAAAATAAAAAATAAAACTAGCCAGATGTAATGGTGCATGTCTGTAGTCCCAGCTACTGGGGAGGCTGTAGTGGAAGGATCTCTTGAACCCAGGGGTTTGAGGCTGCAGTGAGCTATGATCGTGCCACTGCACTCCAATCCAGCCTGGGCAACAGAGTGAGACTTCATCTCTAACGAAAAAGAAAGGGGGGACCAGGTGTAGTGGCTCATGCCTGTAATCCCAGCACTTTGGGAGGCCAAGGCAGGCAAATCAGAAGGTCAGGAGATCGAGACCATCCTGGCTAACATGGTGACACCCCATCTCTACAAAAAATACAAAAACTTAGCCAGACATGGTGGCACGCGCCTGTAGTCCCAGCTACTCAGGAGGCTGAGGTAGGAGAATCACTTGAGCCTGCGAGGCAGAGGTTGCAGTAAGCTGAGACTGTGCCATTGTACTCCGGCCTGGGCGACAGAGTGAAACTCTGTCTCAAAAAAAAAAAAAAAAAAAAAGGCTGGGTGAGGTGGCTCACGCCTATAATCCCAGCACTTTGGGAGGCTGAGGCAGGTGGATCACCTGAGGTCAGGAGTTTGAGACCAGCCTGGCCAACATGTCGAAACCTCATCTCTACTAAAAATACAAAAATTAGCCAGGCGTGGTGGCATATGCCTATAATCCTAGCTATTAGGGAGTCTGAGGCGGGAGAATCGCTTGAACCCAGGAGGCGGAGGTTACAACGAGCCGAGATCACTCCATTGTATTCTAGCCTGGGCAACAAAAAAAAAAAAATTTCAGTCTCCTCACCTGTATCCCTGTCCAGGGCTTTTCAGGCCCCTCCTGGGTGCGGGCTAGTGCTCACTGGACACAGCACAGCCAGGTCCCTGACCACAGGCCTCTCCAACCCTGGGTGCTGTGGTATTGTTCCCCAAACCTCTGAGAAGAGGCTGTAGGATTCCAGCCCTGGGTGCCAACCCTGCAACTGTCCCCAGCCAGGGCTCTCCGGAATGTATGGCAGTGGCTCCTGCACATCGGGGATGTGTGCAACTCGGAACTGGGCAACCCTTACCTGAAGTGTGCACGGGTTTTTGATGATGCCAAGGACAGCTGCATGATGGTCATACCACAAGCCTACCATCTGTGTTACGTGCTCATGCCCTTCAAACTGGCGCTCTGTGGACTAGCCAGCCGTGAGAAAACCAGGGCACGCCAGCAGGGAGGAGCCTATGTGTGGTGGGGCGGGGTGGAAATGTGGGGGTCAGTTGGGAGGACAGGCCCAGGAGGACCATTGGGGGCAATAGAGAGGAATAAGTTTGGTGGGACCAGTATTGGGGGTGGGGGTGGGCAGTAGGGAGGGACTGGTGTTGGGAGAGAGGGGTGACAGGGATGTGCTACAAGGTTTTGAGCAAATGTGGAGGCCAATAGGAAAATCGAAAAGAGGCCCTGTGAGAAGAGGTCTCCAGAGGTGGGGGGCAGGCCTGGCTGTGCTCCTCCTTCGGACACTCAGCAGACTCCGCCCATCAGTGGTCCAGGTGTTCTGCGTCATCCCTAAGTACATTCAGCCCTTCTTGCGCCAGACCATCGGCACCCGTGAGTGACCCCCTCCTGCCACACGTGGTGCTCCCTAGTGGTCTCCCTCCCTCATCCCAGTGTGGCCATGGCCAGCCCCCAGTGCTCCCAGCCCATAAAGGAGAACGTAAGAGAAAGAAAGGGGCTCAAGAGATCACCCAGGCCCATATCCATGCTGTACAAATACAGATCAGGAGACTGAGGTCCAGCGAAGGGCCAGTGCCTCACCACAGCCTGCCGTGAGAGCAGGAGCTGGAAACAGAACCAGGGCCTCCTGTCCACACTCAGGTCCATACTCAAGTCATCAAGATCATTCCTTAGGGGCATCTGTTGCATGCCTTCTGTCATGTGCTGAGCATGTGGTGGCGATGGCCATATGTGGAGGCTTTGTCGCCTCCTCAGTCCACCTTGACCCAAACACTGGGGGTTCCCAGCTGGTCTGTGAGCTGCACCCCCTAGGTTGTGCCAGGCCCCTCCCCAGGGCCAGCTCCACCCTCTCCTAACTCTCCTTGCCCACGTCTCCCCTGAACCTGCTGGCCCCAGCTGTGATTCAGTTGCTCAACCGGGTGCGTCAGGAGTTTGAGTTCAACATGACAGCCACCCACCACTTCTCTGTGGATCTCAATGCCTCTCGGAGTCTGTCCCAGGTAGCCATGGACCTCCACGAGGCTGTCAGCATGAAGCTGCACCGTGTCCGAGAGGCCCTGGCTCTGATGGGGTTCACCACTCCTCTGCTGCTTGTGCTTCTCTACCTCCAGTGAGGCGCTACCGGGCGGCACGGGGTGGGGTGTGCAGGGCCAGGGCTGCAGGGAGCAGCTCATCCCCATGCCGCCCCAGCATCCAGGGAGGCTGAAGTGGGGTTGAAGGGGGGATGCCCTGTGGGGTCTGTCCCGGGGTGGTAAAGGGCCTCATATGTGCTCTACCTCCCCTTCCCAGAGCCCTATTTTACCGGTACTGTTACCTGAACTGGGACCATTATGACAATATCTACATCACCAGCCAATTCCTGCGCATGGAGGCTGTGCGCTCCGCGGCAGGGCTGCCCACAGTGCTACCGCTCAGTGCTCACGAGGCCAGGCGCTACATCCCACCGGGTGAGGACCCTGAGGACAGGGAGAGCCCAGCTCAGGGAGGCCAGGGCTTCCCCTCGCCCCGCTGCCCTGCCCCTAAGCCCCTGCACAGGCAGGGCTCAGGATGGGCTTGGGGCAGGGCCAGAAGAAGGAGACCCAGAGCTTAAGGAACTTTCAGGCTGAGGGGAGACACTGCCCAGTCCTTGGTGAGCCCACAGTCTGAAAGGAGGACATAGACACCCTTGGAGAAAGTAGCCAGAGACAGGAGAGGCAGATGGTGCTTCTGGGAGCACCCTGGACATCAGGACATCAGGGGATGGACACAGAGCGAGGGACGTCAAGTTGGGAGGGCTTCCCCAGGTGGGCAGGAAGTGCTAATATGGACGGGGAGGACTGCCTGTGAGGTGGGGAGACAGGTAAGGGGATGAGGGATGCCCTAGGAGGGAGGGCTCCTGAGACTGGAATGGACCACAGGGCCAGGTGGAGATGATAGGCAGGCCCCTCCCCTCTAGCCACGGAGCCCCCTCCCCTAAAGAGTGTTTTCCATCCTTGCCGGAGTCCTCACAGCTTTTCTTTTCCATATTCCCGATGAGCAGACAGGCCCAAGCCTGATCAGGGGCAGGAGGCCTCTCCAAGAACTGGGGTCTGGTGGACGGGAGAACTGGGGAGCATTCTCCTGACCATCCCACTCCTGCTCAGGCTCCATCTTCTTGTCCCAATGGGAGAAGTTTTTTTACATTCTGGAGACCTTCAACCTTATCCGACACCTCCTCCTCGTGCTGTTCCTAGTCTTCCTAGACTATGCTGTCTTCTGGGTGCTTGACCTGGCCCGGCACCAGCTGCAGGGGGAGATTGTGGCCCGCAGTGAGTGCCTACACGACAGCCTCCTCCCACTCACCCACTGCAGCCCCCTCGACCTGCTCCTGCATCTCCCTGCCTGCTCCCAAGCCTTCTCCTCTTCCCATCCTCAGTCCTGGTGACTGCCTGAATGTCCCCATGTCACTGTTACTCAGCAGCCCCCAAGTGGGCCACTCTTTCAACTCTATCCTCTGCCTAGTAACACCTGTGTCTAGGTCAAGGTTATAGCATACAGAGTAGTTTAAAATGCAAGCTCTAGAGTCAGATTGGCCGGGGTTCAAATCCCAGCTCTGTCCTTTATTAGGTGGTGACTTTATTAGTAGGCAAGTTGCTTAACCTCTTCAGCTGCAGTTTCCTCTTTTTTTTTTTTTTTTTTTTTGAGACAGAATCTCGTTCTGTCACCAGGCTGGAGTGCAGTGGCACCATCTCGGCTCACTGCAACCTCCCAGGTTTAAGCGATTCTCCTGCCTCAGCCTTGTGAGTAGCTGGGACTATAGGCACATGCCACCATGCCCAGCTTAGTTTTGTATTTTTAGTAGAGATGGGGTTTCACCATATTGGCCAGGATGGTGTCGATCTCTTGACCTCATGATCTGCCTGCCTTGGCCTCCCAAAGTGCTGGGATTACAGGTGTGAGCCACCATGCTCGGCATTTTTTTTTTTGAGATGGAGTCTCACTCACTCTGTCACCCAGGCTGGAGTGCAGTGGTGCAATCTTGGCTCACTTCAACCTCCGCCTCCCGGGTTCAAGCAATTCTCCTGTCTCAGCCTCCCAAGTAGTCGGGACTACAGGCACATGCCACCATGTCCAGTTGTATTTTTAGTCGAGATTGGGTTTCACCATATTGCTCAGGCTGGTCTCAAACTCCTGACCTCAGGTGATCCACCCACCTCAGCCTTCCAAAGTGTTGGGATTACAGGCGTGAGCCACTGTGCTAGCCCAGTTTCCTCATCTGAACAGTGGAATAATAATGGTAGCAACCTCTCTGGGTCACTGTAAGGAGTAAATTAGATTATGTGTGTTGGGGCCAGGTGGGTGCCTCATGCCTGTAATCCTAGCACAAAAAAAGAGGAAACTGAAGCTGAAGAGGTTAAGCAACTTGCCTAGCAACAAGAGTGAAACTAAGTCTAAAAAAATAATAAGAAGAAAAAAATAAAATAAATTAAGTGTGTCAAGTGCCTGGTAAGCCATTAACTGAGAGTGTGAGCCAGCTGCGGTGGCTCATGCCTGTAATCCTAGCACTTTGGGAGGCTGAGGAAGACAGATCGCCTAAGGTCAGGAGTTCAAGACCAGCATGGCCAACATGGTGAAACCTTGTCTCTACTAAAAATACAAAATAATGAGCCAGGCGTGGTGGTGGGCGCCTGTAATCCCAGCTACTCGGGAGGCTGAGGCTCGAGAATCACTTGAACCCAGGAGGCGGAGGCTGCAGTGAGCCGAGATCACGCCACTGCACTCCAGCCTGGGTTACAGAATGATACCCTGTCTCAAAAAAAAAAAAAAAAAAAAAAAAAAAACCCAAAAAACAAAAACCAAAACCCCAAACCAAACAATAAAGCACTTGGTTAAGTGTCTGCTACACAGTCAGTGCTCAGTCAATAAATGTTTCTGGGGGCCTGACTTGGTGGCTCACACCTGTAATCCTAGCACTTTGGGAGGCTAAGGCAGGCAGATTGCTTGAGCTCAGGAGTTCAAGACCAGCCTGGTCAGCATGGTGAAACCCTGTCTCTCTACAAAAAAAAAAAAAAATTAGCCAGGCATGGTGGCACGTGCCTATAGTCCCAGCTACTTGGGAGGCTGAGGCAGGAAAATCACTCAAACCTGGGAGGTTGAGGCTACAGTGAGCCAAGATCGCACCACTGCACTCCAGCCTGGGTAACAAAGTGAAACCCTGTCTCAGAAAATAAATTTAATAAATAAATAAATAAATGCTTCTGGGTGGTCATGGAGGCCAGGGGGGTGGACTCACTGACCATTAAGGTCGTCTTAGATGTGGTGGCTTGGATAGGAAGACCAGACACCAGTACCACCCAGCTGGACCACGGGGCCAGTCCTAGGAGCCAGAACTGAGGTCAGGCGCCAGGGCACCATGAGGGTGCCTGAGGCATCAGAGGCCCCCAGCCGAGGGTCTGAGTCATCCTATGACCTGCGCTGCTCCACTTTCCTCATTCCAGAAGGTGTGGGCTTTTCTGCATAGCAACTGCCATGAGTGTCACTCACACAGTGTCTTTGTGCCAGGTCCTGTGTTGGTGTCTATAACCGTGGAAGGGACTGGCTATGCTGGGAATATTTATCGTGACCTGGTGTCAGCATTTGATGTCCTGCAGCAAGGCAACATCAGTATTTTGTCCCGGCGTTGTCTCCTTCGTCCCTCGGAGCCGGACAGCACTGGCTACATAGTCATTGGTATCAACCACACCCTGAGGGCCCTGGGGGAGTGGACACCATGCAGGAAATGAGGGGTGCAGACTGCTGAGGGTGTGGGGGGCATCAGGGGTGGGCTGACACCTGTGCCTGCTGGTGAGGCTGACTGGCTGCTGTGCTCCCAGGCGTCATGTATGGCCTATGCTTCTTCGTCACCCTGTTTGGCAGCTATGTCAGCCGGCTGCGGCGAGTCATCTGTGCCTCCTACTACCCATCCCGGGAGCAGGTGAGGGGTCCAGGGCTGGGAGCTAGGCCCTGCCCCCTCCCCAGGGGGCTTAGCTAGTGGCTGGCTGTTTTGGCTTTGGGAGCTGAATTCCTTCAGCAGCTCCAGCCCTCTCTCCTCTGGTTGAACTCCAAAGCAAATGACCTGGACTGCAGACTTCTGGACCCAAGAGGGGGCTGGGAGAAATGGTGCCTCTGGAGTGGGGCTTCCTGAGACAGCATTTACCTCCAAAGTTTTGTTAAAATCACAGGGGTGTTGGGGGGGTGGGGAATGAGAGATGGGGGAGAGTTGGAGAGTGGAGCTGGTGCCATGGCTCACACCCGTAATCCCAGCACTTTGGAAGGCCGAGGCAGGAAGACTGGTTGAGGCAAGGAGTTAGAGACCGTTTGGGCAACAAAGTGAGCCTCTGTCTCTATTTAAAAAAAAAAAAAAAGAAAAGGAAAAAAACCCGCCAGGCATGGTGGTGTGTGCCTATAGTCCCAGCTACTAGGGAGGATCGCTTGAGCCCAGGAGTTCAAGGCTGTAGTGAGCTATGATTGCACCACTGCACTCCAGCCTGGCAATGGAGCGAGACCCTGTCTCAGCAAAACAAAACAAAAACCATGGTGGGGGCAGTGTTGGCATGTTGAGGTATAATTGAAAACTCACCATCGGGGCCAGGCACGGTGGCTCACGCCTGTAATCCCAGCACTTTAGGAGGCTGAGGCGGGCAGATCACAAGGTCAAGAGATCGAGACCATCCTGGTCAACATGGTGAAACCCTGTCTCTACTAAAAGTACAAAAATTAGCTGGGCGTGGTTGTGCGTGCCTGTTGTCCCAGCTACTCGGGAGGCTGAGGCAGGAGAATCACTTGAACCCGGAAGGTGGAGGTTGCAGTGAGCAGAGATTGCGCCACTGCACTCCAGTCTGGCCATAGAGCAAGACTCCATCTCAAAAATCAAAACAAAACAAACAAACAAAAAACCCTCACCATTGGTTTACTCATTTACTAATCATTTACTGAGCATCTACTATATTCCCCTATCTCTATGCTGGTCTCCAAGGATGCCGAGATGAACCAGACACAGTCTGGAGCTCACAGACTCGAGGCAGGCCAGACAAGCTTTTTTTCCTTTCCTTTTTTTTTTTTTTTTTTTAAGACGGAGTTTCGCTCTTGTTGCCCAGGGTGTAGTGCAAAGGCGCGATCTCAGCTCACCGCACCCTCCACCTCCCAGGTTCAAGTGATTCTCTTGCCTCAGCCTCCCAAGTAACTGGTGGAGGTATGTGCCACCACCCCAGCTAATTTTGTATTTTTAGTAGAGACAGCGTTTCTCCATGTTGGTCAGGCAGGTCTTGAACTCCCGACCTCAGGTGATCCTGAGGTCACCTTTTAACAAGCTTTTAACAAGACATTGTAATTTAAAAAGCACTTTTATTTAGGAATGAATAAAAGTGTTATAGAAAACCAGAGGAGAGAGTGGTAACTCCACCTGGGCAAGTCCAGAAGACTTCCCAGAGGAAAGGGCATTTGAGCCAAACTTAGAGGGATTCATAGGAGTTGGACAGAAGGAAAAGGTAGGGAGTGGAGATGGGCGCAGAGGGCATTCCAGGCAGACAAAACAGGGTCAAGTGGGACCCCATCCCTGATCTCCCCGCACCAGGAGAGGATCTCCTACCTGTACAACATACTTCTGAGCCGCCGAACCAATCTGTTGGCTGCCCTGCACCGATCAGTGAGGCGGCGGGCGGCTGACCAGGGCCACAGAAGTGCCTTCCTAGTGCTGGCCAGTCGGTGAGGCCACTGTCTTTCCTATAGGGGTGGGGCAAGGGGGAAAGAAAAAGAGCCAGGAGTCGGAATGGATTTCTGTCCTCTCTAAGCGTCAAGAGATTTGGTTGAAGAGGATGCCCATTGCATGCCCTTAACGCCGTGAGAGATGGGAATTCTTAGGGGTGAGGAGTGAAGGGAGGAAGGAAGGCAGAGCCATGGAGAGGTTGCTGCTGAAGTCAGAGGGATGGAGGATGTACTGCAGGAAGTCAGAAAGTCCTCCCTGCCATTTGGAGGTTGGTGCTGGAGTGGGGAGGCTTAAGCTGGCTGGTCTGCCCTGCTTAGTGTCTGTGACCCCTTTCTTAGGTGCCCTTGCCTAGGTCCATTTGTCAGCCACTTTTGGCTGCATCAGGCCTACTGCCTGGGCTGTGGGCAGCCCCAGGATGAGGGAGACATGGAGAACATTGTGTCCTGCAGTACCCCGGGCTGCCAAGGTGAGACCCCCTGGGGCGTGTGCCTCTCGCTGCTCAGACTTACCCCACTTGCATATGACAATCCACTGTGGTCCTTCCTTGATGGACTTCTCTTGTACCTCACCTTTTGTGCCCCTCCCTTCACTACTATGCATGTTCTCATTTACACAGAGCCCTCAGGTAGCTCATTTTCTCCATGCTTGCCTTTCTTTTCCTGGGTATTTATGAATAGGATTTATGTGCAAGTGACATTGCAGCAGTTCCCTAGTATGCACCCCTTGACAAGGATGGTTCCTCCAGGGGTGTGAGGGGAGGCAGGGGCTGGCAGCCAGGAAGCACAGAGGATGGGTGGGTGAGCTCGGGTTCACCTCCATTCCCCCTGGCCTCCGCCAGGTCTCTACTGCCTCACTTGCTTCCGCCTCCTGGACAATACCTGCTCTGTGTGTGCATCTCCCCTCTCCTACCAGGGGGACCTAGACCTGGAGCTGTGAGTCTTTCAGTGACATGGGGTGGCTGGAGTCTGTGGGGGCAGTGGAAGTAGCCACCCTTCTCCCAGGATGTCTGCGGGCCACTGAGATGAGAGTCTTCTCCAGGGACTCCAGCGATGAGGAGGGCCCTCAGCTATGGCTGGCTGCAGCTCAATGGAAGGACCCTGAGCAGGCATGGTTACTGCAGCAACCGCTCCAAGAAGTGCTCGGCAGGAGCCTCTCAGTGGAGTCCACTTCCGAGTCCAGGTGAGCAGGAAGCAGGAGTTGGCACCTGGGAATTGTGAGGCCTAAGCAGGTTCTGTTCCATTTACAAAGGCCTTCCTGAGTGTCTGGACCTTTGCCAGGGCTTGAGAGAGACATGAGGGGAGGGGAAGTAACTGAGGTTTGCCAAGCGGCTGCTCTGTGTTAGCACCGTGGCCCTGGAGGAGCTCACCATGCCCTTGGGGAGAGTGACATCGAATAGATAACAGGGTGGACAGTACCCTGATAAAGGAGTGAAGTACACTCTGGACAGCACAGAGGACACAACAGCCAATTTGGGAAAAGGGGCATATTAATGAAGGCTTCATAGAAGAGGTGATAAATGAGCTGGATTTTTGTTTTGTTTTGTTTTGTTTTGTTTTGTTTTGAGACAGGGTCTCACTCTGTCACCCAGGCTGGAATGCAGTGGCGCAATCCCAGTTTACTGCAACCTCAACCTCCTGGGCTCAAGTGATCCTCCCACCTCAGTCTCCTGGGTAGCTGGGACATCAGGCACACCACCATGCCTGGCTTATTATTATTTTATTATTATTATTATTTTGTAGAGACAGGGGTCTCACTATGTTGCCCAGGCTGGTCTCGAAACTCCTGAGCTCAAACCGTCCTCTCACCTTGGCCTTCCAAAGTGCTGGGATTATGGGATTATAGGCATGAGCCATGGTGCTTGGCCATGGGCTGGATTTTGGGTGCAACTTAGGTGGTTTGTTAGGCTGAGAAGTAGAGGAAAGCATTCCAAGGGGAGGCCTGTGTGGGTTTGGAGAATGTGAGGCATTCAGAAGGGTAGAGCCCAAGGGATGGGTGTGACTGGGTAGAGACCTCAGAGAATGCTGGGAGATGAGGTTGGAAGTCAAGGTGGGAAGAGAGGGGCAAGAACCTTAACTTGTCATTTGAAAAGCTTAGGTTGGAAAGTGATATGCTCATATTTGTCTTTTAAGCCCATAAACGAAGAAGGCAGAGTGGAGGTTGGGCAGGAGCAGGGAGGTCAGAGAGGAGCTTGTCTTAGTCTAGGAGTTCGTGATGGCCTCAGGACTGAGGTGCTGAGTGTGACTGGGATTTCTATGCTTGGGCCTGGGCAGGTGTTAGGGCAGGAAGATAAACAGGTTCTGGTGAAAGACGACTGGCCCAGTTTGAGATCTTTGAGGTGTCTGTAGGGCATCCAGCTGGAGATGCCCAGGGGGGTAGTTAGAAAAGGGCAGGGCTCTGGGCTGGAGGTATATTTTTGGGGGGTGGCTGAGCTAGAGACTGTAAGAGAGAGGATGAGCTAGATCATCCTGGCAGAGGGCATGGCGGGAGAGTGGGAGGGGACAGGGAGGGGAGAGGCTCAAGAAAGCAGGAGAGGCAAACTTATGAAATCAAGTGGGGGGATGGGCACAGTGGCTCACACCTGTAATTTCAGCAATTTGGGAGGCCCAGGTGGGCCGATCTCTTGAGTCCAGGAGTTTGAGACCAGCCTGGGCAACAAGGCAAAATCCCATCTCTATTAAAAATACAAAAACTTGGCAGGGCAGGGTGGCTCACGCCTGTAATCTCAGCACTTTGGGAGGCTGAGGCGGGAGGATCACTTAAGGTCAGGAGTTCAAGACCAGCCTGGCTAACATAGTGAAACCCCATCTCTACTAAAACTACAAAAATCAGCCAGGCATGGTGGCACACACCTGTAGTCCCAGCTACTCAGGAGGCTGAGGCAGGAGAATTGCTTGAACCTGGGAGGCAGAAGTTGCATTGAGCTAAGACTGTGCCACTGCATTTTAGCCTGGGCGACAGAGGGAGGATTGGTCTCAATAAATAAATAAATAAGTAAGTAATAATATAAAAATTAGCTGGACATGGTGACATACATCTTTAGTCCCAGCTACTAAGGAGGCTAAGGTGGGAGGGATCACTGAGCCAGGGAGGCCGAGACTGCAGTGAGCCAAGATTGTGCCACTGTACTCCAGCCTGGACAATAGTACGAGACCTAGTCTCGAAAAATGAGAAGATTAAAAAAAATATATAGAAATCAAGTAGGATCATGTGAAGACAGGTGACAGGCAGTTAGGAAATCACTGGAGTGGCTTGTGGGAATGTTTTTCATGGCATCGGGAAGACCAAAACTGGATCTGTCATGATGGGTTGAGGGCTGTCAGGTAAAGAAGACTCAGAAAGGCTGGGCGCCGTGGCTCACGCCTATAATCCTAGCACTTTGGGAGGCTGAGGCAGGTGGATCACTTGAGGTCAGGAGTTTGAGACCAGCCTGGGCAACATGGTAAAATCTTGTCTCTACTAAAAATACAAAAAATTAGGCATGGTGGCAGGTGCCTGTAATCCCAGCTACTTGGGAGGCTGAGGCAGGAGAATCACTTGAACCCAGGAGGCGGAAGTTGCAGTGAGCCGAGATCGCACCACTGCACTCCAGCCTGGGTGACAGAGAGAGACTCCGTCTCTAAATAAATAAATACATACATACATACAAATTAAAAGGACTCAGAAATATGGTATGTGGCTCCTGCATCACTGTTGCCAGGAGTTGGATAATGCTTTTAATCTAATGAGTGCTGTAGTTTGAAAAAATGTAAGCTTGATGGTGAAGAGAAAGACAGAGTTAGCTTCACAGAGCAAGAAAGTAGCTTGAAGGGGAGTCAGCACTAAAAGCGTTTTCTAGATCTAAGGACAGGAAGATTCGAGCATTTAGGCAGTGTAAAAGAGCGTTGGGGAGGGAGGTTTGGGTTCCAGGGCCAGGTGGACCAGGTGGCCTGCCTTAGAAAGGAGCAGGCTGGCAGAGGCAGAGGGGAGAGTATACTTTCCCCTGAGCAGCTGAGCCCACTCCAGCCTGGAGGCCTTGCTTCTCTCTGGGGAGGAGGAGGCAAGAGCACCTGCTGAGAGAGCAGAGCAGGCGGCTGGGAGTGGAATAAAGATTTCAAGGAGTGGGTGGTAGAGGTTGAAAGACCTACTGTGGCAAGTGTGCAAAGAAGCCGACTGGGGAGGTTAAGGGATTTCCAGGTAGCGTCAAAGGCCCAGATGATGCTGGAAGCCGTAACCTGTAACGATTGCTCCAGTGCGCTTGGTTATGTGATTTTCTCTGGCATGTGTGGTAGCCATGAATAGGATTCACGGGTGGAGGGCTTTTTCTGGGCAGGTCAGGAGGACAAGATGGAGTGAGAATTGAGGTGTCTTTGGTAAGAGTGTCTAAGATGACTGGTGAAGAGGAGGGGCTAAGGCCCCTGGGGGCAGCCCAGGGTCTCTGTCTTGATGACGTGTTAGAACAGGGGCAGTGGCCAGGAGGGAGAGCTGCCTGAACAGGAGGGGCTCAGAGAGGGGGCCATGGCCAGGGAAGAACTCTGGAATGAATCCAGTGAAGGGCCAAGGTTGAGGAGGACGTCTGAGTGGGAACAGAGATGACAGTCAATAGGACCAAGGAGGTTAGGGATTGAGAGGCCAGAGAATTGGATGGGTCCTCTAACGAGGAGGTTGTAGGACCATACAAACAGCAGGAGTCCAGAGCCGGCATCTTAAACAGATGTGGCAGGTGTCTGGCAGGCCTAAGGAGACAGCCACAGCACTGGTGGTATAGCTGTCGTGGCAGCCAGGGGCTTTGTAAAAATCACTAGGGGCCAGCTGGGTTTGAGAAGGTTAAGCTACCTCCTCTTGGGAGGACTGCAAATAAAACTGTCCAGTGGGCACATTCCAGTGTGAATGGGACGGTGGAGGTCGTGATGAGTCGAGAGGTTGAAGGGGAAGCAAAGCTTTCTTTTCAGAGGTTCTAGAGGGCCCAGTGAAAGGATAAGCTGGGTCAGCAGAGGGGACAGCTTGAGCCTTGAGCAGGTGTGACCACTGAGGTCACTAGTGGTTCCGCCCTTCCTAGCCATGTGGCCTCAGGCAAGTCACTGCCCCCGCTCAGCATCAGCCTAAAATCAGAAAATATCTACAGCCATGGGCTGGTATGCCTCGTGGGTCTGAGAGAGCAGGAGTTCCTCATAAAGAACAGGAGCTGGATCTGAACAGATGGGGCAGGGCAGGGGGCAGGGATGCACCTGTGAAGACAGAAGGTGGGTGATCCAGCCACACCCTTCCTCTCCTCATTAGTGACCTGGATGAGGAGAAGGGGCCTCAGCAGAGGAAGCATGGGCAGCAGCCCTTACCTGAAGCCCATCAGCCTATTAGCATTCTCACCAGCCCTGAGCCCCACAGACCACCTGAGACATCCTCCGCCCCCAAAGCAGTCCCCACTCCAGCTTCAGAACCCTCAGTCCCTCTCTCACCTCCCTCTCCTCCTGATCCTTCCCACCTACCCCCCAAATAAACCAAAAGTGGACACAAGTGTGAATCTTAAATTATTATTATTTCTTCCTGTCGCTTACACCCTTGGTCGGGGGGTTGGGATGGGGGGAGGGGAATAGGACGGGGGGAGTGCCTCTCCCCCTAAGGCACTGACTGGGAAAGCCGAAAGTAGGGAGAAAGGAGGCCACATTGTCCCCACTCTCTGGGGCTGGGCCCCAGGTCTCCCCAGCCCTGGGCTCCCCCCATCACCTGAAATGCTAAGATGAGGCCCAGGACAACCCGACCTCCCTGCCACCCCAATATATTACATCATCACTTTTTAAATAGATACAGGGACTGGTCCCGCTACCCCCTCCCTGTGACCCCTCCCCACTGTTAGGGGTACCTGGGCAGCTGTGCAAATGGGCATGGGGGTGCATGGAAGGGAGGAAGAGCACCGGGCCCCTGAACCTGCCCCTTTTAAGGAGGGGGAGGAGCCGTCAGGCCAGGAAGGGGAAATAGTGCAAGGCAGAGCCCAGGCAGCAAAAGGGGTCCAGCACCCAGCGAGGAAGGGGGGGTGTCCCCCACCCCCAGCAGAATTGGGTAGTTAAAAATCTGAAACTAGATTTCAACAAGACCAACAGAAGAGGCTATGTACAGAATGGGGGTGGATTCAATCCTAAGAGAAGAGTGAGGGGATTATTCTCCCCTGCCTGACAGGAAGCCCAGCTGGCAAGGATCTGGGAAGGGGATCACTTTCCCACAGGTCCGCAGCCCCTTTCCCTGCGGCCAAGCGAGAAGTTCTGTGCCCACTGCCTTGGCAAGGGGGCGCCGCTCACCAGCTGGGGTGGCTGAGGAGAAGACAGCTCGCTCCAGTGGCCGCGGGGGGCGCTCGCCCGCTCAGGGCATGGCCGCCAGATGGCGCCGGCTCGCCCGCTCTCCACAAGGCTCTTCCAACCCCTCACCCTGTCCCACACCCTTCGCTGCGCCAGCCCGGGGGCGGCGTGAGTCAGGGGCGGCAGCGGTGGCGGCGGCTCCGGCTCGCACCTGGGCGGGGAGGAGATGGGGAGGAGGAGAAGAGGGTAGGACGCCGCCCGGCCCGCCCTGCCCTCTGGCCCCGGGGAGGGAGCGGCGGGAACAAGACATTCCCTGCCCAGGGCCGCGGGGAGGGAGGGACAGGGAGGGGAGTGGAACGGAGCGGCTCCCCTAGCTGGGCGGGGCCCCTCTCCACTGCCCCCAGGGGCGGGCGAGCCAATCAGGCCACCCTGCCCCCTTCTTCTCCGCGACCCCATGACTCAGCGCCGGGAGCAGGGCGGAGGGGGACTGGGATGGCTCCTTCCTTACAGGCCCAGTCCCCCAGTCTTTCAAGCTTCCACCTGGCTTTCCCCCACCTACCCTTCCTTTGCCGGCCCCCTTTGCATAATTCACTGCCAGGAAAAAGGAACAGAAACCAGGAAGGAGGGGTCTCGGAAGGGAGGGGCAGTCCTTCACCCCCTTACACAGCCAAAACCCCCAAGGGGCAGAGGGGCGGGGCAAGGCTTTGGTCCCAAGCCCCCACCCCCTAGAAACCCGCATAGCCGAAGTGGGACCCACAAATCAGAAATACATTATTGCTTCTACTCCCCAGGAGCAGCTGGGGACAGGGACCCCACTTTTACAATAGAGCTGTAAATATATACACAATATATGTATCACTCCTTGGGGGATCACCCCAATTTGGGGAGCCTCTGCCCCAATACCTTCTTAGCTCGGAATTGGAATGAGGGTTCTGGGAGGAAGGGCTGATGCTGACACCAGCAAGGCTCCGTGCCCCAGACCCCTGCTGTGTCTGTCCTGCGTGCTCCCACTGCTTGGCATGGGTGTCCCCGGCCTTGTGCTGCTTCAGCCTGGCCCTCGTCCCTCTTTAAGAGGACTCCATAGCACCTTCAGCCTGGGGTGTGGTGGGTGCCCCTTCCTCCTCATCGTCATCAGGGGGCCCCGGGGTAGAGACCGGGGGCCCGGTGGGGGCTGACTGCTCCCAGAATCGAGCTAGAGAGAGGCGGAAGGTGTCCAGGTGGCCATTGGAGAGGTCGAGGCCAGCGGGGGATGCAGCAGCCGTAGAGGGTGGCGGGTAGTGGGGTGGTGCATCGTCCTTGCGGCGCCGTCGGGTGCGCACCTCCAGGCAGTTCTGGCCTTTGAGGTGGCGCTGCAGGTGGTCCTCCTTGGCGAAAGCCTTGTGGCACAGGTGGCACTCATAGGGCCGGTCCCCCGTATGCAGGTGCATGTGGTTCTTGAGGTCGTAGCTGTGCAGGAAGCGGGCTGGGCAGTGCGGGCACGAGTAGGGGCGCTCTCCCGTGTGCTTCCGCATGTGGATCTTCAGCTTGTCGTTCCTGGCACAGGCAGGGGTGAGGGGCAGGGAGGTGTTCAGGATGGGATCCCTGGCTCCTTCTGGTCATACCACCCTGGCCTTGTCCCATCCCTGTCCCTCACCATTTGTTACCCCACTATTGCCCCAGCATACCCTGCTGGCTCACCTCTAGCTTAACGAGGGCTTGCCATTATCCACTCCTCTGCTTCCAGCACTGCCCTCCTGGGCACCAAATCCTTCATGCTCCAGACCCACCCCCTGCTGGCTTGTTTTATTCTGCTCTCCTCATTCCAGTAACCCACTCATGTCCCAGTCCCTCCACGACCACCTACCTCCACCTCGGGTCTCCTAACTCCTTCCCCCTCTCCTCCCACCCTGTCCCCTACCCACGACCCCTGCCGGGCCCTTCCCCACTTGCTGCTCACCGGGTGAATCGAACACCGCAGACCTCGCAGGCAAAGGGCTTCTCGCCTGTGTGGGTCCTCATGTGGCGAGGCAGTTTGCCCGCCCCATGGATGATCTTGTGGCAGACAGGACACTCCTGAGGCATCTGGGAGCGGCGTTTGCGCACCAGCTTGTCTTGGCCGTCCAGGCCTGGTGCCAGGTTGTCCTGGTGCAGGGAGCTTAGGTAGGCCATCAGGTCAGGATCGATGGCATCCTCATCTGAGCCCAGCTCCTCTGGGGACAGCGGGGGCCCGCCACCCTGCGCCAGCCCATAGGCTGGGGGATATACCAGCTCCTCTTCTTCTTCCTCACCCTCATAGGGTTCGTAGCTCTGGGGCCCCTCAGGAGGGGAGGCGGTTCCTGTGGGAGGGCTGTAGCTGTCCCCCAGCCCACTGCCCCCACTGCTGCCCACTCTACCCGCCACATCCTCCTCCTCATAGGTCAAGGGATGGGCAGGTACTGCGGGCACCTCAGGGACTAGGTGGTTTGCTCTGGCCCCCTTGGTTTGCAGGAAAGCTTTCCGGGGCTTGCGGCTGCGGCGGGCAACAGGCCGAGGTGGCGGTGGTGGAGGTGGTGGGAGGGGCACCTGTGGAGGACTGTCTTCACCATTGGGAACTCCAGAGGCTGTGGCTGTGGCAAAGGCCTGCAGATACTGGCGGGCTCGCTCACAGTCATCCTCGTCTGGGCTGGGAGCTTCTAGCCCACTGCCCTGCAGAATCTCCATGCAAGCAGCGATGACACACGGGATCTCCAGCAGGCGGGCAGCCTGGAGCACAGCTGGCATGTTGGCGCTGCTGGTGGTCAGTGTGGCTGTATAGGCAAATTCAAGGAGGGCGCCTAGTGCCTCTGGCCCTACAAAGTCCAGCTCACACACGCCTGCTCCTGCTCCCCCAGCGGCTGTCCCGCTGCCCCCGGCCCCCATGACAGCTCCGCCACCGCCCTCAGTGAATAGCTTCTTGAAGTAGTGGCTACAGGCAGCTAGCACAGCCCTGTGGGTGCGGTATTCAAGGCCCTGCGTCCGGATGGTGAGGTCACATAGGTGGCCCAGCTGGCGCTGCTCATTGAGGCAGCTCAGGAGCTCACTGCTGTGGTCCGGGAATGGAATCCCAATCAGGTCATCCTCGGGGCTCCCCATCTTCTCCTGCAGAGTCAAATAGAGGGGAGGTTAAGAGCGCTCAGCCCATAGGGGTCTGGGGAAAGAGGACCAACTTTAGCCAATACTTATTGAAGGATGACTACATGCCAGTCACCCTTCTGAGTACTTTACACTCATTTCATCTTCCAAAACCCTCCGAAGTATGATCATCATCTGTTTCACAGACAAGGAAACTGAGGTTCAGACAGGTGAAGTGATTTTCCAAGTTAAGTGCAGAACAGTATTTGAATTCAGGCAGTGGGCCCGGTCCTTGTTCCTAACCACTACACTGTTCTATTCTGCCTCTGTGGCAGCAGGAGCCCTGCCTTTCTGGCCTTTTCATAGAGGTCCATCTGTGTCACCTGCCCCCTTCCCCATCTCTTTGGAAGGAGCAGTGGACTGGGAGCTAAGATGCCTGGGTCCTGGTTCAGGCTTCATAAAGAATTGGCTGAAGGACCGGGGGTGGTACTGGCAGCTGGCCTCAGTCATTTGAAAAGTGAGGTAACGGTCTTTGTAGTGAAACCTCCTCATAACCTGGGGAGAGGCCAATGAGAGAGTTCAGACTCACACTGGACCAATATCTGCTGGAGGCCAGGCACAGACAGGTGCTTTAACTCAAGTTATCTCTCTCCAAAGCGGCTAGGACACTGTAAAACATATGCAAACAAGAGAAGGCAGCTTCCAAGCATCATCCTCTTCTTCCTCGTGCCCCTCCCCTGGCTACCAAAGGTTCATCTCCCCTTCTAGATCCCCCGCTTCTTGAGGCCAAACGGGAAACACAGCTCCCAGCATCCCTCCCCCCACATCCTCCCCTCCCCCATGGGGCCAAGGAGCAGCCACCCTTTGCTGGGGTGTCACTGACTGGCGCGGTTGCTTCCTGCCCCGCACAGATAAGCATCGCCCCCGCCCCCTCCCCCACTGCCAATAGGCCAAGTTCCAGTCCCACCCCCCAACTCCCCCTCAGCTACTGCCACCCCTCTCTCCGTATTCCAGGAGAGCCACATCTCCAGAGGGCCTTGGTCCTGCTCTCTATCCTTTACCCTCCAACGCCCAGCCACAGGAGGTGGGTGCAGAGCAGCCAGTCATCCCAAGGCTGGCAGAGGTGTGGGCAGGGGTTGGGGCCTGGAAGGGGGTGAGACCT